TAGGATTTTGTTGTTTAGCGTGAATGTGGAACTTTGTTCTACATGCTAAAAATAGCATAAATGATGCCTTTATGAAACAGTAGTTCAAGGATACTTTTATAAAAGATATTTGTTTTTTGTGAGGGGAAAAGTTATGGGCTTTTGGAATTCATGAGCCTTACACTTAAAAATTGTATGTTAAATGGATAGAATCACTTGCGTAGTAATGGTAATGAGCTCTGTTGTGTTTCTTACATACTTCTTTTCATGTTGACCTTCATGGGGATCTCTTGGATTTGATCTGGTTGTCAGTAGGATATGGAGCACAATTTTCCATTTGGGATATGTCGTCATGCCGAGGAATCCGCTCCTTGAAGATTCATAGCACTTTTGCAGGTGTAATATTGCCATTGTGCTCATCAAAAATGCCAGTGATATGTTGAAGATGCAGTTGTTGAATGTCCCTGGTATGTGTCCTGATAGATATCCATTAGTGCATTGATTCCTGAACAAAGTAGATATAATCTGCTGTATATCATTTTCGGCTGGATTATCAGTGCACTGAGGACATTTATTGACCAAGTATTCATGCATTCTTCCAGGATTCATCTTTTTTTGGCATCAATATTAGTTCCTTGAAATATTTTAGTATTTTATTCTTAGAAAGAATCAATATACTTTAAACCAGAATAGCATCTATATACTGGTCGTAAGGCCCAACCTTGGGGAAATGTTTCTTTGCTACTGATTGAATTAAACTCTTCCATTAAAATGGTTTCAGATGATGGGGCACTTCCTTGAATAAAATTAATCTTTCCCATATCAATAAGATTCTTTGCAACAACCAACACATGATAACAACCAATGATATCCCATTGGCCAACAACAGCTTTCCAAATGTGTCATTTCAACATCTTTGGACTTGAAAAACATAATTACATGTAGAATATTTGGAACTGTCTTCCTCAGATTCTTCAGGTACATTGAGTGCATCTATTGTTAAGTGTGATGACTGTGATTTCTTGTATATCATATGAGAAGTTTTCATTTGACCAACAAAAACTACAATTCCAGTTAAATTGCCTTATATCATTTCAACATCTACTATATCCGCATTGTTAGCATCGTCACACTCCAGTAAAGTATCAGATTCAGCATCACTAACATCAGATGCATCATGCATGATGACCAATGATTCATTCAAATTAATCTCATCGAAAATGGAGTATCATTCTCATTATTAATGCAAGCAGTTGGTTTCATAGATAATGTCACATCAGAAGTTGATTGAATTCCAGAATAAAGTTGTACATGTACCTGCTCCAAATCATAATTAAATGTCGCTTCATTGTATCAAAATTACTTTTTTTTTTTTAATACTTTCTATTTTTCTTAGTGCTCATCTAAAAACTGTTGCAATTTTGTTTGAGTCAGTACAGTCAACTCAGCTACACTATTATTCATTCCACCATTGTTTTGCAAACTATTCACAACATTTCTTTTGGTAATGATATAATTTTCTGAAGCACATAATGCCATAGCTTTTGCAAAATGCCCAGCAATTGGACTTTTCCCATTTTGAGTCTCCGTGTGGATAAATATTTTGAATGGTAGTCCTGTTTTTTTTTGCAAGGAGGAACATTCTATACAATAGTTGGCCATTCTGGTAGCATTTAGCATTATTGCTTTGAAAGATTACTTCCTTTATTTCTGTGAAATCTTTCTTTACACAAATGAGCAAGGTTTCAACAATGGATAAAATAGCAGTCCAATATTGTTTGGAGTCTCCTGCAGAAATGTGATCATAAGAACGTATGCCAAAATCATTCAGCTCCTTCTATTCATTTTCCAAACACCATGGGTCATGATGATTATAAGTTATTGATTCATGTCAACTAATGCCTCCTTTACCATATTGTTCAAGGGTTTTTGCCTGGAAGTTCATTTGTTCCAGTTTCATCTTGTAATTCATCACAATGTATGCTGTCGTACAAGGTAAATTTTGCAATATACTATCAATTTGGATTCACTGATTCTGAACATGTAACTGATGTCGAATAAGCAGTTTGAATTTGTCTATGTAATTGGAAAGAATGCTGTGGTGGTTTTCACAAGTGTATTGTAGGATGTATTCAATAACTTGAAAGGATAATGAACACACATCACAATTGGTTGGAATGGCAGTCAAGAACATGCTGAGTGTTTACTTCACGTATTTGGAGATATGTTTCATTTAAATAATCAGGATACTGTCCTTTGAGATTGGCTTCTGCAGTAGTCAACATGCACATGCAAAATTTTCTCATCTGCGGATTTTTAATCATGGAGATTATCTTATTTAAGAACCTCAAGTTATCATAAATGAGAATTCCAGAGAATTTAAAGATTGATTGTTGAATAAACAAAGGAAAATTTTCTTCTATGCCATCAATAGGTAGTGTTTTCGTTCAGGCCAGAACAGGGGAGGGTCAGTTGGCATGGGCCTACAATTTTGAGGGGGCCTACAGAATAAACATGAATGTACTGTTGTATTTACTGCTTCTTATTACAGTACTGTACTCTATTGTCTTATACACATTTGGAATAAAATTACTTGCCATCACCTTTTTTTTATAAATCATTCTAGTTCTTTTATTCGTTTCTGTTACTTGTAAGTACATCATGTATATACCCATACATAAATCATATGAAGGAATGTTGAGAGCCAGCACGGGCCCCGGGGCAAACATCCTCACCTGGCCCCCTTTCCTCTCTCTCTCTCGTTTTTAACATTTTCAAGAATTTATTAGAAAGAAGATCCTAAATTAGGACAGCAACAAGCTCATAAACCAGACAAAATCATAGCAGCAGCCACTTTTACCTCACAGTGTAAGTGTAAAAACGTTAATAAAGTAACAACAAATATCTATTAAATCTGTAAAGTAACAAATATATATTAACTATTACTCAAATTATTATTTCAGTCGTTCTTAATGTATCAAGCGTCTATATGCAAAGAAAAGCCAAAAAACTATGGTTTTTATCATTAAATGAAAATATAGCCTAAAGATGCTTTGCGGGCTTTACAGCATAACCAGGTTTCAATCGCCTGGATCCGTGGGCAGTTGCCCTCTTTGCCACCAACCCCTGTCGGCGGGCCTGATCATATGTATTTAGCACTGATTACAAAAATACTTAATGAGCAGTTTGAAATGGGGCCTACATTTCCCATCTGGCCTGGGCCTATTACCAACCTTGCACGGAGCTGTTTTCGTTCCCTAAGAGGGCATATGAATATTTTTGTCTGACAAAATGTAGTTCACTGCATCCAATACATTTTCTTTCTTGAATCCCTCTGATTGTTGGAACTAATTCTTTTCCACTTAACAAATGTTTAAAGAGTTGTCTCGATGTCGCAATAAACTCACCTGATACATTGGTCAATCGTTTGATTTCTTGAGATGATAATGATTTGCATAACACTGCCATGACTACACGTCATTGAATACTTCTCTCTGGCAATTATCGTTGTATAACTAATGCATTCATCATAGTTGAGTTGTCATATTTAATCCAATTTGCTATTTCCCCCAATGTGGCTAAAGCAATGGCATCATTATCCTTGGGAAAAATTAGCTTGCACAGTGCACGAAATGCTTGTTTTGCAGAATATATCATCCTTTCCTTCTCTTGATCATCAAAATCACACCAGTTCTTTTTCTTTACGTTCCATTAATCCAGGAATGTTATGTCCACTACTCAATGGGAGTTGCAATGCCTGTTGAATTTGAGCTGTGTTTTTGATAAATATAACTTCTTGACCAGTAGGAGTCATTTTACTACACATAGGATTGCATTTCTCAATGATGGTTTCCTCCTTGTCATCATCATCTACATACAAATTGGGAATACTTTTTCATTTTCTTCCAGTTACATGTGACACTGTGGGATTAAGATAACATACACCCTTTACATAGTGTTATCTAGGTTTTGGCCTTATTATCAGAAAAAACACCTTTGTACTACATTTTTTGTATGAAAATATATTGAAATAGGTACAAAGACATTCTGGCATATGTTGTATAACATTACCACTGTGGCTAATTTTGCATATTGTAAAAATAAAGAAATACAAAAGAAATGTCTTATGTAACTGATAACTTCTCCAAGCATGACTGAATTGCTCCTGAAAATGGGTCCAGACTTTGATGGGATGTGAAGAATTAGTCTAAACTAAGTAAAACTCTGAAAATTAATTCAAGGTCAAATTACAACACTAGTGAGTATGCCCTAAGTAGGACAAATGCTAGAGCGACTTGTTAATGGTCATTTAATAAAAAACAAACATCTTATCAACTTTACCTTAGTACACACTATAGATACACTAATAATGCATATTTATGCCAATTGTGAAGTCTATAGCATCATAATATCTGAAATTATGAGTTAAAAACCACTATGAGAATGTAAATTGTCAGATTTTGAGAAAGACGTATTTGAAATTTAGGTGCAAAATTGTCACTCTAAGGGTCTTTATCTAATTGAAAATAGGTATACCACATCCTGCAAATTGTGAAACTTACTTCCTTAATATGTTTCTGAGTAATAAAGGGTAGATGCTACCTTAACTTTTCGAATTGCATGAGGTTGGCTGCCATGCTTATGGGACATCTTCTCTGATGGATCAAGACCATCACAAGCAAGGCTACACTTGCATGTTATTTTTGGCATATCCACGATGAAAAAATTTTCCGTTCTCTCCAATTATATTCACCCACTACAAATTGAATGCAGTTTTGAGCATTTCAGACTACAGGGAAAATGTATGGATACCTTAACCAACAAAAAAAGCTACATTCACAGCCTGTTAACAAAAACTAACAAAAACATCCCAGCCTGGCTAATGAACTAGGTGTTAAAGAATTTTGGCAGTTGGATTTTTGGAACATTTTTTTGGATATTATTGATTGTAAAATGATTGTCGTGCTATTTTTTTTCTAGAATTATTTCATGATATATGATCTATATTATCTAATCAACAGGAATTATAAATTATACAGTAGCCGTTAACTCTGCGCAGCCATCCTATATAAGCCCTTCATGCTACGTAGAAGTGTTTGACATGGATGATGATCTTGTTGCACAAGAGAAAAAATGTCAGAATGTGATTAATGTGAGAAATGCAAAATTCTGGTGGCCCATTGGGATACATCCCCAGCCTGGTTATCTGTACACTTTGAAGGTAAAATTCTTGTTAAATACTAATATGGTGACTTGTAAGTTTTAATGCAACTTGTCTACCCATACTTATTTTTGTATTAGAAACGTGATTGTTTAGGAAGTAAGATATAAATATTATAACATCAGTTAACTGCATTGTTCAAAATATTACCCATTCATGCCACAATGTTCTTGTTGTTCATTAATCTTTATATTATGATAAGTTTTGATATTGAAAATATCTGCTATTCATGTGTTTCAATCTCTTTTTGCAAAAGAACACAACTTTAGGTTTCAAATATTAACCATTCTTGACACAACATACTTGTATTTCAACTTTTTTGTACATACAAAAGTATATTAACAGAATATTAACTGTTCACAACATTTCTCAACCTTAAGTACTTCAGTGTTTTCTCTCTCTTTTTTTTTTTTTCACCCACACACAAAAGTCAGTGTGTGTAACATTTTTGGGTGCTACTATAGCGTGAGGTCTACCGCCATGTGTTGCCTACCCAGGTGCAGCCTGAGGTCTATCGCGTCCATCAAACATGTGACATGCCCAAATCCATCAAAAATGTCATTTGTCCACGTGACCTGCCTATATAAAAGGAGGCAAATGGAGCTCTTAATTCAGATTCCTCTTCGACCGAAAATAGTTAACATCGATTGAGGGTACTTGAAAATGTTGCTGAAGGAGTTTTACAGAACAGTCATTCTGATAGAAGCAGCAGCACTCGGCTTTTTAAGAGAGCACAACCTCTTGGATACAGTTCGAGAAGCAGATCCATGCCATAAATGTGGTTCTGTTATGCAGGAAAAAAGAAAGCGTAACAGAGAAGGAGAATTCAAGCCTGTGTTACGTTGCCCTCGAAAGGGGTGTCAAACTACATGCTCTGTTCGTACAGGACATCAACAACAAATTGCACTGCAACCTGGGCCTGTGTGAAATATTAGAATTAGTATTTCTCTTTGTATTGGATATACCAATGTCTACAGTAACGACTCTCACAGGAAAATCTGCCAATACTGTAACAGACTGGTTCAATATGTGCCGAGAGGTGTGTACAGCCATAGTTTCTCATCAACGACAAGGAAAGATGGTCGGAACAACAGATAACCCCATCCAAATTGATGAGTCAAGATTTGCTGGTCGAAGGAAGTACAACCGAGGAAGAATGCTGAATGGAGACAATGCTCCTCTCTCTGAGGACAGTGACACAGAACAAGAAAACAACAGAAACCATGGGTGTAGAATTGATGGGCCTTGGGTTTTTGGTCTTAAACAAGGCTCAGACTGTCGGTACTTTTGGGTGGAACGGCGTGACCGCAACACTCTAATCCCTATTATTGAAAGGGAATGTGCATATGGTTCAGTGATTCATTCAGATGAGTGGCCTGCTTATAGCAACCTAAATGCAATGGGGTACCAGCATTCTACAGTGAACCACCAGCAACATTATGTGGATCCAGTGACAGGAGCACACACACATGCAATTGAGCGATTGTAGTTGGACGCTAAAACGATGATTCTGAAGAGAATGCGAGGTGTTGGTCGTCAGCTGTTCCAGTCTCATCTTGATCATTTTTGCAGGAAGGTGATGAGAAAAAATTCTAATGATCTATTTGTGTCATTTTTAGAAGATGTACGAAGTGTGTATCACTAGAATAAATGTATGGAAATAT